GGTGCATTGGCAGGGCTATAAAGTGGACAGCCACTCTGGAAAACAGTATGGAGGTTCCGCAAATAATGAAAGAGAGAACCACCGCGTGATCCAGCAATTCTGCATCTGGGGATCTGTCCTTATGAAACGAAATCACTATCTCCAAAAAGTATCTGCACCCCCGTGTTCACTGCAGCATTATATTTACAACAGCAAAGACATGGAAACAACCCAAGTGTCCACCGACAGATGAACGTATAAAGAAGATGTGGTGTATACACACAATGGACTACTACTCAGCCATCAAAAAGAAGGAGATCTTGCCATTTGCAAAGACATGGATGGACCTTGAGTGCCTTATGCGAAGTGAAATAAGTCAGACAGGGAAAGACAAATATTATACGATCCCACTTACATGTGCAACTTAAAAAAACCTGAACTCACAGATCCAGAGAACAGACTGTGGGTTGCGAGAGGCGGCAAGTGGGAGGTGGGTGCGATGGGGGGAGGTGGTCAAAAGGCGCAAACTTCCAGTTATAGGATAAGTAAGTCCGGGGGATATCCTCTATAACGTCATAACTGTAGTTAACAACACCGTGTTGTATATTTGAAAGCTCCTAAGAAAGGCGATCTTAGAAGTTCTCATCGTAAGGAAAAAAATGTTCTGTAACTATGTGCGCTGATGGAGGTTAACTAAACTTATTATGGTGATGATTTTGCAATATATATATATATATGTATCTCAAATCATTAGGTCATGCACCTAAAACATCTAAGAATATAATCTTATATGTCAATTACAGATCAATGAGAAATAAACGAGTAAAATAAAATACACTTTCTCCGTTGCACCAGCCACACTGCAAGTTCTCAACAGCCACCTGTAGCTCATGGCTACTGAACCGGAGGGGGCAGATACAGCACATCAGCTTCATCACAGAAAGTTCTATGGGACAGCGCTGGCTTAGACCACCACGGAATGTCACAGATATACGCTACTGGGAAAATCCAGCATTCACAGACTGTTTAATGAGCAGCATTTCTGTATAGGAACGATACCCCCGGGCACCCGTCCTGCCTCCCCCACTGTTGTGACCCGGCTGGAGGTGGCATCTGCGTGGTTACATTGTGGATGAAGATGGTGATAATGTGCCTGTTTTTACCGAAGGGCACCACCAGGTAGCAGATAACTCATAGGCTTGTTCTGAAGGAAAACATAGACCACAGGGAGCTGCCAAAAGCCCTCTTCTTGGACGGGTTACTAGATACTCTAGTAGGGAGACTACTGGCTCCTTCCTCCCAACAGATGTAGCTCTGTAGGGGAAGTGGTGCTGAGAAAAACCCACACCCCTCATGTTCCCCTCCCAGCTGTGTCCCTTGCGAGTTACTCGCTGGGCAAGTCACACCATCCGAGGAGTCCCCTGAAAAATGTGACAGATGTATGATCGCAGCCTCCTCCTGAGCCCGAGGCAGACACTGCCGATCCATCACACACACTTCTCTTTATGAACCAGAAGGAAGGTTCCAGATCCTTCTCAAGACGGCACTCCAGGCAGCCATTTCCAAGCAGGGCTGGCAAAAAAGACAGTCTCTCTGCCCCCAAGGAGCTCACTATTCTAAGCTCCAGCTTCTTCGTCTACAAGGTGAGGACTGACGCCACCTTGCAGGACTCTTGGGGGTTAACTGAGATGATTTGTTCGTTGAGTTATTTGTTCATGCATCAAATATGACCGAGCGCCTACTGTGTGCCTCACGCCTGCCTGGTGGACGCAGCCCTGGATAAACGGCAGCTGTGACGAGTATAGACATCTGCATGCTGCCTTCTGTTTGCCTGTGTGGACGGATTCTAGCCCATGTCCTCACTTCCCCTGAAGTCCCTCCCCCCTGGGCCAGCCCACACTCACCGCATCGCCTAAGGAGGGGGGAAGGAATCCAGCGAAGTTAGCCTTCACAGACATCATCGTATTTTCCAATAAAAGAGACTTCCCTTTTTCTAGCACCTTCTTTTCTTACGTTCTAAACAAGCCTTGGTTGGAATCGCTCCCCCCTCCCCCCATTTAACTTTTCTCCCTTGGATTCCCAGACACAAAACACTGTATTAACAAGCCGTGTCTACCAGGCCGAGCTATATTTCCTATAAACTCTCATTTTATCTCCTCTAAAACACACAGTAATAGCATTCTCTGGAGAATATTAAATCAAACCAACCTGCAGCTGCATTTGTTTGCGCTTTCTGCCCCCAGTAAATTCTGGCAACAGATGGGTGTGCGTTACATAAGTGCCCCCCCCTCCCGCAGGGACTGCAGTCCTCTGCACTCTGCTCCATGTGTAGAAATACCTCAGGACTCGGATCCCCGCCGCCCGAGGGTCCCCGAGGCACCCCTAACGACACCCTGATGTCCTGCTCCTCTTTTTTTATTCTTAGTACACAGGGAAGGCTGAGTGTAGGTTCAAGAAGAAAGGCGGGCCCAGCCATAAGGGATGAAGCTTATCTGCTTTGTAATCCAGCACATAAAATCCGCTTTTCTTGGCCTGAGACATATATTCAATGACAGGGCTGAGCTACAGGGCATGGGCTTGGACAGCCAGCACTGCTTCATTGCTCATTCCAGAAGCTGCCAATGACCACCTGCCAGGAAATGTCCAGCCGACTGGGGAATGAGAGAGCAGGGCCCTACCTGCAGGGAGTACCTGCTGCTACACAGGGGTGGGGTCCTGCCGGGGCCTGGAGGACAGCCTGAAAGCACACAGCTGGACCCCTGGGGAGTTGCGAGGGTGGCTGGGAGAGGGAGAATCTGCAGGCAGAGTATGGGATGGGGGGTATGGGAAGGAAGGAGGAGGAGCAGACTCCCCTGGACTGATCCCCTTTGACCTTGGGTATGAGCCTGAGCAAATGTCATAAACTCCGATTCTCCACGTCTCATCTGGATATCACAAAGCGTTAAGACAAACTGCTTGTGGGTTCTCGGGCAGTGAACTCATTCCTTCATTTGGTAACCACGTGTGTCTACTTTGAATGGGGCAGAGGCGGACACAACGTAGGCCCTGCTCCCAGGGGCCCACGGTGGTATGGGGGAGGCAGGTGTCCATCCCGGTACAGGGGTGATGGAACATATTCATGAGGTCCAGAAGTGGCAGGAGGGTCAGGGGTCAGGGCCGGCTTCCTGGAGAAAGTGATATTCGGTTTTCCGGGAATTTGCCACGGAGGCGAGCATCTGGAGCTGAGCCAGATGGGAGGGGCCAGGGCCTACAGGTGTAACTCCCAGGCAGAGCAGTGGACAACGGGCACTCCAGGGTGCGGCCGGAGCAGGGGGTGGGGGCTGATGGGAGGGAAACATAGGGCCTGGCACCTGGGGATTACGGGGCCCAGGTCACACTCAGGGGTTTGAGCTGGATCTTCCAGGTCAAGGGGAGCCTTGGAGGGTTTGAAGCCGCAGAGAATCATGATCAGACCTCCCAGTGGCTGTTGGAGACAGACGGGAGGCCTGGGCCTAGGTACGGGGCGGGTAGGGGGGCAGTTCGGAGGCCACACTCTTGCGCACCTCTGCCTTTGCACGTGTGGGGCCCTCCTCCTGAGATACGCTTTCTCCTTTTCTGCCTCGGCTCTGTGCCACTGTCTCTTTCCATTACAGCTCAAGTGTGCGCTCCTTCCAGCACCTTCCCTGAGCTCACCCAGCCTGATTCAGGCTTCCCTCCATACTCCGGGGGCTGCAGTCTGGACAGGCCAACTCCAGCCCAAAGATGAGTTTGCTTTGGACTGTGTGGTGGTTTCAAAAGAATTTAAATTCGCTGTCGACATTGACAAACCAGAGAGGCTGCTATCAAATTCCAGATTCCCAGCTCCCTGGGAATGTTCAGAAGATCTAGCAGCACTGGCTAGCTTTCGTACATAGCAACCATTAGCTGAGGCTGAGAAGTGGCCTTCCCTTTACCTGAAGCATGTGCTTACCCGTTTGCCACACTCCCCACCATGCCCTACTGTCTCTCTTGACAATACTGAAGCTGAGGACCAGTTCCCCTTGCTCAACTCCCTTGTATTATCGCTTCCTGAGAACAAATTGGAGAAGAAAGTAGAACAATTCTTGTCCCCACGTCTATCATAAGAGGGGAAACAAGGTAGGCTGAGGGGGTCCTGTCCTTCCTTACCCACTGAGTTCCCTGCTGAGTTCCTGGAGCTTCTATGTGAAACTCCTGGTACACTGCAGTCACCTCTACGAAGGCCTTCAGCACACTGCATCATATTTTTATTTACTTGTCTGCCGGCTTCTGGACAAGGAACACCTCCAGGATGGGGTCTGTGTCTTTCATATCAGTGTCCTCCAAATTGATCAGGAAGATGCACTCAATAAGAAATGTTGAATGAAGGAGTAAGTGCAAATGAGAACACGAGAAAACAGTCCAGAGAAGAGAGAGGGGTTAAGTGCTTCCAAGTAGGGGGTGGTGGGGGGGGGGCGGGTAGAAAGGAGGGCAGGGATTCTGAAACCGGGGGAACAGAAGAGCACAGGGGTTAAGAGCCTGGCTCTTCAGAGTGGAGTCCCCACACCAGGAACACTGGCACATGTGGATGCAGAATCTCAGGCCCTGCCCTCCACCCGCTGAATTAGAACCCACATTTTAGCAAGATCCCCGGTAAGCAGTCGCAAAGTGAATGGGCCAAGAGTCTGACTGCGTGGGTTCACATTCTCATGGCGACGCTTACCGGCTGTGTGACTCCGGGCATGTTACATAACCTCTCTGTGTGTCTGTTTCCTTATCTATCAAAACTGAGCCCCAGTTCCTATCTGTCCAGTTCCTCCAAAGGGTGGCCTGATTTTACTTCCCAAACCTTCAAGCTGAGGCTCTGCTCCCCGTGGCTCCAACCACGCAGCATGAAATGCCCAGTCAGGCACTGGCTACCCTCAGCAGGAAGGGCAGCAGGGCCTCCGCATACCCATCTTGCAACTTCAGCAACCAGATGATTGGACGGCGCTAAGTGCTTCCATCAGTCAAACACCCGGCAAGGAGTCGGGGCCTTTACTTACGCCATCAGCCGTCCAGTAATTCCAAACCTTGATCTTGGCTAGACCAAAGTCCTGCAGCCGTCTGGTGTTGCGGATAACAAAAAAGAGCTGGAGCGGCGGGTGGAAGGGGCACATCCACAAGGAGGGGTCTTTCTTGCTCTGAAACACCAGCAAGAGAGGGGAGTCATTAGTCCGTTCTCTGCCTCTCCCCAAAGTAAACGGGCGGAGGGCAGGAGGCCAGGCCTCCCTTCTCTATGTAATCCAGGGTGGGCTTTTAGACCCCACCGGTCCCGACTGCACATTGTGGCAGGTAGTGACTCGTCCCTGGCATGAAGCTGCCCCGTGGGCCTCTCTGCTCTGCCATTCGGGCTGAATTTAAAATGCAGCAGGCTTTTATTTTAATCAATTTAATCAGCTTTGGGGAGAGCGCTGGGGGTGGGGAGAGATGAGAGAGGAGGATGGGCAAAGAGCAGTCACTTGTGTTATTTAATTAACCGGGCAAGCAGAGTCTGGTTTTCTTTTGTAAAACCCTGTGGAATCTTAAAAATGTAAAAATACAAAAAGAAAAAAAAAAAATTAAGAAAAGAAAGAAAGAAACCAGTGCAGGCACTGGGACAGGGTTGTGGCACAGAGCCCCAGGAATTGCTCTGCTCCCTGGCAGAGTTTCCAAGCCTCAGGACCCCTGAGTGTGGTTCCCGCCCACCGGCCAGGCCACTCTCAAGGCCAAAGGGCCAGAGGAGCAGGGAAGCCCCCCTGTCGCATCCGCTTGCACCGATAAAATTCCACGTCATGGGTGCTTTAGATGCAGGTGGAAAATGCCAAATCCAGGAACTTTTCTCAGCACCAGCTGCCTCCTGTCCCGACGAAACTCACGGCTGCTGCTGAACATCTCCCCCAGGCTCGGCCTCAGGGCCTTTGCACAGGCTGTGCCTCTCCTTGCAATCTGCTTCCAGCCTCTCCCACCCGGGGGAGTTCAGCACAAATGTGCTGTCACCCCCACCGTCACCCCTTCCCTGACACCATCGCTCTGTCCTCCAGGTGCCCACGGGTCCTTGCAGGGCCTGAGGCTAGCATTTACTCAGTGTCCCACAACTACCTGTTTTCCAGTCCAGGTCACCCCTCCACATGTTTGGCTGTGCACTCCTGAAGGGAAGTGGCTGTGTCTAACTCATTCCAGAACGCTGAGCATTCAGCACAGTTCCTTGGCACAGAATCTTTGTTGAATGAATAAACGACGGAATGAATGAATGATTGATATTTACCTCCTAATGGCTGTCCCTTCATGGAAACTTTAGAGAAGAGGCTGCAAACTGATCTGGCCTGCAGGGCGATTTTGTTTGGCTCATGAAGTATTAAAAACACATTGTTGGCCACATTTAATGATGGGGAGATTTCCCCTCCCCTTCCAGAGCTAGAGTTCTGCCCCTCCATGGCCGGCGTTGGGGGATCTCTCGCGCCCCAGTCCCCACCGCTTCCTAATGTTTTACACCCCTTTCTCTTCCCAGGATATGACTCTCTGTCTGGCCCCTGCAGGCGTCTGAGTCTCAGGTCCCTGCTTAGAGGCTGAGATGGAACCACCGCATCTCTGACGCTGGCTAGAGTTGTCCCTTTTACCTAAAGGGAGCATAGCTGTGTATTTGAGAAGGTCTCAACAGACTCCTGTCACCAGGACCATGCCGGCTACTTGATAGAGCCAGGGAAGGAGGAGATTGGCTGGCTTGGAGGTTTTGCCGGCCCCTTGGAGATGGGAGGCCCAGGCTCCAGCTGCGGAAGAGAACAAAGGGGGGCTTGTCCCAATGACAATGGTGCCTTTCAGGAGGGAGGCGGTAGTTTTTGTTAAGGGAGAGAGAGGAGTTCAAGGGGTTCTGACTTATTCTGGCCGAGTTTCTCAAGCTCTGCAAGAACTTTCAGTGCTCCAGGCAGCTGCAAGGGGTCAAGATACCACAGCTCAAAATCCACCGGGTGCCCCTCATTCCTTCCCCAAGTCGGGGCCTAAATTGGGTCAGTGTGGCTGCTTGACAAAGGAAGAGTCTGAAGGCTGACCCCTAGATGCGGGCGAGGGGACCGTAATTGATTTCCCATCACATTTCTGTCAGCGGGAGGGATAACAGGTGGACTAAGTGGGAATCATGGTGTTCAAAGTCAAAGAACATTAACCTGCGGGTAACTCAGGGCCTCATTAGCAGACGGAGTCTCTAAGAAAAAGGCTGCCGGGAAGCCGCTGCGGGCTGACCAAGGCGCGCTGGGCAAGCCGCAGGTGCCAGGCCAGCAGGCCAAGCGTCCGCTGAGCCTGCCCATCTCTACGATCGCAGAAATGGCAGAACGAGGAGCAGGGCACCTCCTCTCAAAGCCCTGGTGGGGACTAGCGCTGTAACCCATGTCCCGGAAGGAAGAGTGCAGCTCAGCAAGGGGTAAAGTGGTGCGGCTTGCCTAAGCGGTGGAGTCAGGATTCACACCCGTTAGAATTCATTAATTCATTCTGTCTTAGTGTGGATTCCCCCGGAAGCAGACCCCGCGCGGATGTGAGCATCGGGAGATTATTTAGACATCAAAGGAAACACCAGCTGGAAGGTGGGGAGGCCAAGGGAGGAAAGGCATTCCACAGACAGTGTGTTACCAAGCTAGCCCCTCCTGTGGCATCTGGAGCTCGGTGCCACCAGGGAGTGTGGGGGCCAGAGCAGAACATGCCTCAGAGCAATGCCGCCCTCGGGACGAGGGAGCTGGGGTATTCACACCCCAATTCCCACCAGAGTAGGTTGAGGGTGGCTCCTAGGGGCTCAATTCCCCACCAGTTTGGGCCTACTTCAGGGGGGGCCAAGTGGGCCCCGGGGCCAGAAAGACAATCGAAATCAGAGAAATCCTGTGCCAGCACGCACAGATGCAGGAAGGACCAGGGGCTGGGGAGGCATCAACTGCATCTGTTACCCACCTGCCCAATATAAATACCTTCCTGTGAGGCAGGCGCTGAGCCCCACACAGGGGTGGGTGGTGGAGCCTGGCCCACCAGGTCCCAGCTCTACACGAGCTGGGGAAGCAAACAAGGAAAATTGCCAAGGAAAGAACCCATCAGGCAGGGAGAAGTTGGACAAATAAAATAAGAGAGAAATTATTAATGGTCAATGGAAGGGCATTTTCCGAACGATGGTCAGAGGAGGCCTCTTGTAGGAGGCCTCTCACTCCTAACAAAGGTGCTTTCCTCTTCCAGAATTAGCCTGACACAGACCCACTCCCTCGGGCAGATGCTGGATCGCCCTCAGAAGTAGCCCCAATTTAATAAATTACCATAATCAAAAGCAACAAGCTATTGAGACACACAACAATTTGGATGGATGTCAAGGGCATTATACCGAGTGGAAAAAGCCAGTCTCAAAAAGGTTACAGGCAGTATGATTCCATTTATATAGCATTCCTCAAGTGACAAAAAATACAGAGAACAGATCAGCGGTTGCCAATGTTAGGGACGGGTGTAGGGAGGTGTGGCTATAAAGGGCTGCGTGAGGGAATCCCTTTGTGGTGATGGACCCATTGCTGTGTATCTTGATGTGGTCATAGTTACATGAATCTACATGTGATAATATTGCATAGAACTCACACATGCACACAAATGCGTGTACGAAGGTCTGCACCTTATACTAATGTCAATTTCCTGGTTTTGATAATGTACTACGGTTACATAGGATGTCAGCGATGGGGGAAGCCGGTAAGGACACACGGGACCTCTCTCTCTATTTTTTAAAAAATTGAGATATAATTCACATATATCAAATCGCCACTTTAAAGTGTGCAATTCAGTGTTTTTGTGTATTCCAAGGCTGTGCAATCATCACTACTATCTTTTTCCGGCATATTTTTTTTTTTT